ATATTTGCATGATGTAAACACACATACACATATATGTATGTATTTTGTGTGCGCGCGCGTGTTTGTGTATATGAGTATGTATGCTACACATATGCAACTTATTGCCTTCATATATCTTGCAAAATTTTTTATTTAATTATTTTTAGTTTATAGAGTAACTAATTATTTTTGGTTTATAGAGTAGTTTACATGAACGATTGTATGGTAAACCATTGGTTCAAGGAGGTTGTATGGTGATGGAAGCACCAGAACTTCTCAATTTGAAACAACCGGCATCGAATCAATCTTTTCAAGTATCCGCTCCTAGCATTCCCCCTGTCACTAACACTGTAACTACTCCAGTTAAGGGACCTATTAATAAACAAATTGAAACGAGGACTTCAGATGGGAAAAGAAGAATTACTCCTATGTTTATTCCACCGCCAGCAGATACAACGTAAGTTAAAATATATAAACTTCCTATTTATAAAAATATTTATGTCTGGATTTGATATTAAATCTTGTAATGTTTTTTTTTTTAATCAATTTTCAGAGATACAAATATCAGTGGTAGTTTAGGCACACCGACGTTCACCAGTAAAGTACAAACGAAAAGCTCAATTGTGATAGAAAAACGTAACGATGTTGTTGCACCCAATGTCACTTCATCATCCAAATCAGTTGCTGTCGATGCTCCAGAATCCTCCCTTACATTGAAACGCAAGGAACAAACAACACCAAAGATACACCATTCGTCGCCGAATAAAAAGCCTAAATTCGTATCTGATAGGAACGTAGGTCAGATGTTACTGCCTCCATTAAAGCCGTCCAGCTCATTGTCCCAACAGGCGGGACATTATGCTGTGACTGTCACTAACAGTCATGGCTTAGCTCATTTACAAGTATTTAAAGGCACAGATTCTGAACCGACATGGGATCTCTATTTAGGATATAGTGCTGTGGCATTAGCGGCATCACCGGCTGTGATAGCCTTGGGTTTGGAAGATGGGAGTCTTCATACATTTCATCCTGCAAAAGGATGTCGATCAGCACCACCATTAGCTCCACCGGCACCTTTGGCAAAAGTTCATGCTGTTGGAAATGCGGTAATTTGTTCATCGATTTAATGCATCATGAGTGTTTATAATGTTTGTTTATAATTATTAAAAAATGTAATAGGTGATGGTAATATCGAGCTGTGGTGCGGTTCGCGTGTGGGAAATAGGAAATACATGCAGAATGATCGTTTCAACTTCGGCTGCTCATTTAGCAGCGCCTGGAGCGTCTTTGTTGTCATGCACTTTATATAATGGAATGCCTCATGTAGCATTTACTAATGCACGAGCGTATATGTATCATAAGGATATGGGTATAGCAAAATCTTATTTTTCATTATATATGATTACATAACAATTATATATATACATTATATACAGGGACATGGCTATTAATTGGAGACAGTCAGGATCCAGTTTGGCGATGGTCATCATTCAATGTACTGAGTACTTCTGGCAATAGAACGCCTAGAGGACCTCTATCATCATTACAGGAAGGACTGCTTAGAACCTCCGGAAATATTTTACCAAATCCGCGATTACCGCATAGTGCACCAAGCGTAGTTTCTTATTTGGAACAGCAATTACTCGCATCTAAAGCTCTTGGAAGTGCTCAAGAGTACATTCATTGGCTTATGGCTTTGGTGTCATTCTTATTAACGCAAGGTACGCCATGCAATTTATATTTTACTCTCATGTATTTTTTATAATATGAAACATGGATTTCCGAAACGGATTATTGTTCATCTCATATCTTTTCATTAATAATCTTTAATTCTTCTCATCAAATCTTCTCGTATAAATTGAGGCATACGTAGATGAGACTCGATCTTGAATTTGAGATTCGTTGATTATGAGTCGACTGCTCTTATATGAAGTAATGCATCGTTCTCTTTCCAATATTTCTTAGACGGTTTGGAGAAACGTCTAAGGCTAATTTTGGACGATCTTTTGGGTCCAAGTCATACATCAGCTTCCAAAAGTGCATGGGACCCTGTTATTTTGGTAATACTATTTATATTCGTCATTAATTTTATTATTTTTAATTTGATTATATTATAATATTTATTTTTCATGTCAAATATCATATAGGGAATAAAGAAACATAAACTTCTGGGCGATGTACTGGCTGTAATTGGTGGCCATCTTCGTTGGCAAAGATTGTACCTCGAATATTCGGAGCAATTAACGACACTGAAGAATCAAACTAATTAACGTAATTTATTCAACAGTGCAAATTCATTATACCAAAAGCAAGTAATTTTCTTTTCTTATGAATATCTTGTATATTTTTAAAGATATCTGTATGGATATATATTAAGATTGTACAGTTTTTATAACATTTATGGCTTGACACAAATGTATGATAATGAGTAAACAATTTTTAGTATATTAGTATTTATTAAAAAAAAATTATTTGATTTCCTTTCTCGATAATACTATTTAACAGGTGATTTACTTAAAAAAAAAATGGATGTAGATAATGATTATAGATTACAGATAAATTCATAATATATCGATAAATAAAAATCTTTTTTAAATTGTCTTTCTATAAATTATTCATTTTTATTATAACATATAATTTTAATAATTTTAAAAATCAAAAATTAATTTTTATGATTTATAATTATTGAAATGAATTAAATCAAATTTAATGGATAGGATAATTACTAGATTATTTCATAATCAACTTATATTTATTGTTTAATCTTAGAGTATTCAAGTGCAATTTACACTTTATACAAGCAATAAATTATATTAAGTAATCAATTATCACAACTAGCATTTACTCTGCTGATTATTACATATATATATTACATAAAATCTTTGCAATGTACATTATGTATTAGCAAAACATTTGAATGATTAATTTTATTTAGGCTATTGAAGAGAGAGAAAAAATCATTTGTGTTTCAATTCTTAATTTATATTTTCTAAATCGTAAAATTATTCGATGCAAAACATAACAGTGTATCAATGATCTTTTTGACATATAACTGACAAAAATTATTTTAATATTTGAAGTTGGATGTACATATACGAATGAACAACGAATACAAATTAGACATTTTACTGCTAAAACTGCTTAGAAATACATACTGTAACAAATAGAATATATATATATA